CAACCCACCTCACAAGACTGTTGTTGTGAAGAAAACAGGAGGAGGAAGGAATATTAGGTTGGTTCGCCACCTTGATTTACTTATAAAAGTAATAAAGGCAGGATAAAAATCTAATTTAATAAATGAATAAATAAATAAATGTGTGTCTGAAGTAAAAAGATCACCAGGGACCCTTTAAAGGCTCTAAAGAGGGTCCAGAAGCAGGGAGCTCTGAGTGGAGTGGAGTGGAATGGGAATGGGATGGAATGGGATAGGATATAATAGAGTGGAGTGGAGTGGAGAGTGGAGTGGAGTGGAGTGGAGTGGAGTGGAGTGGAGTGGAATAGAGTAGAGTAGAGTAGAGTAGAGTAGAGTAGAGTAGAGTAGGAATGAAATGGAAGGGAGGGGAAGGGAGGAGAGAAAAGAAGAGAAGAGAAGAGAAGAGAAGAGAAGAGAAGAGAAGAGAAGAGAAGAGAAGAGAATAACAGGGTTGGAAGGGACCTTGGAGGTCTTCTAGTCCAACCCCCCCCGCCGCTCAGGCAGGAAACCCTACACCACTTCAGACAAACGACTGAGGAGTCCACAGGGATTTCTGACTTATAGATGGGGGTGGGGGTTTGAATGGACCTTTTAGGGAGGGGTCCCCCGTTAATCTCTGGCATTTCACAGGCTACACTTCGAAGTCCAAGCCCAACAGCACCGGAGGTTACACCAAGGACACTCCTGGCTTGGAAAGGTGAGTACCTGAGGTTGCCCTCTTCAGGTAGGTGTCTTTGAACCTCTGACCCCCAAATCCAGCGGGTGTATGTGTGAGGGGGGATTGGAGGAGCCACTTTTATCCTTTTCTGCCCTGTTGAATTGCAGCCCAGGGAAATCAGAGCTGCGGAATACAGGCAGCCCTCGACATATGATCCCAATTCCGTTGCTAAGCGAGACAGTTCTTAAGTGAGTTTTGCCCCGCTTTGCGCCCTTTCTTGCCACCGTCGCTAAGTGAATCACTGCAGCTGTTAAGGAAGTAACCCCGGTTAAGTGAATCCGGCTTCCCCCTTGACTTTGCTTGCGAGACGGTCACAAAAGGGGATCGCATGACCCCCACCCCCGGGACACTGCAATGGTCGTAAGTGTGAAACACGGCCGTGTCACTTCTTTCAGTGCTGTTGTGATTTCGAACGGTCACTAAACGAACGTGTGATGACCCAGACGGGTGTGGCACAAAGGCAACACAGTCAGATAATCCATAGAAGTCCCTTTATTAGCTCCAACTTTGCCCCCAATGTCCTGGTTACCTTCTGGGCTGGAGAAAAACTCTCTCAGGAACAGTTTTTGGCTGCAGGGAATCAAATCCAAAACGTGGTCAACAAAAACTGTAACTATAAGTCCAATCAAGGCAAAATGAGGTAATTAGTTTGGCAGGGCAGAAGAAGGAATTCCAGACTTGAAGGCACGGCAGTAATTCAATCCAGGGAGGATGCCAGAAACACAGATAACCAAAGTCAACCCAAGGTAAACTCACGTTTGTTCCCAGCAGGCGCCGCACTCAGCATGCATCTCTTTTAAACCCTCATTCCCAGTGTGGCTAATGAAGGGAATCAGGGCCCTTTCCACCCCTGTAAGCCATGCAACCCACGTTGCTCCCTTCTCCATTCCTCCCTGCGTGCCCTAGGATGAAGAGGGGGTGGGCCTGGGTCTTCCTCTGAACTCCCTCTCCCTTGTTCTACCTCTTCCCTGCTCTGCCCAGCCGGACTTTGCCCTTCCCCAGTTTCCTCCACAGCCAACGGAGCCACACTCCCACTCCCTGTCATCCGTTCGTCTTCCTCCTCAGGTTCAGACTCCGACAGGGGCATGACAGAACCCTTTTCCACTTGCAGGGGTCTCAAGGGACAGACGGGGTACCCAGTGCCTCTGCAAACGGATGCCAACCTGCGTCTGCACCTGGCCGAGCGGGAACAGGCGCTGCTGGCTTCCCAGGAGACCATCCAGGTGAGGGCAGGAATGCATCTTGTCTGAAGTGGTGTAGGGTTTCCTGCCCGGGCAGGGGGTTGGACTAGAAGACCTCCGAGGTCCCTTCCAACTCTGTTATTCTATTCTATCCTATTCCATTCTGGCACCCACTGATGGCCGGGTGGGGGGCTTGGCTCAGCCACCTCCCTCTCCCCATTATCTTGTGGGTCATGTGACCCTCTCAGCTTCCCCACCCTTGTTGAGGGCAGGATGCTGAGGAAGGCCACCATCCCCCCCCCGAGTTTTCAGGGGCCATGGGGGCCTTGGTCCCTTGAGCCGCTGCTTCTGAGGAAATTAGAATGGAATAGAAATAGAAACAGAATAAGAACAAAAAAAAAAGAACAGAACAGAACAGAAAAATAAGAATATGGATTGGATTGGATTGGATTGGGATAGGATAGGATAGGATAGGATAGGATAGGATAGGATAGGATAGGATAGGATAG